CACTCATCATTTAGGGTTGAGGCCTTAGGAAGCAATAATAGAGGGAGCTTTCTACATGACTTATAAAGCCTTAATTCTAAATAAGGATTTTAGGCTGTAATCCTGTACCTGCTTCCCTGCAAGTAAGCTCCCCTGAAGAAAGAGGGACTTTATTTCTGGGTACGCATGTCTAGGATTCTATTTTTAGTGGCAGATGAATCAGATTAATGCCCATGAGTTACGTTTTATTCATTTAACAAAATTTATGTACTGCTTGATTGTAATTAAACCTCTAAGCAGTTCACAAGAAAAGCAGTTTATAGGCAGTTTACCCTAGTTACGTCAAATCTCTACAGGCTACCTGAAGTGTTGGTGCTGAGACTGTGGCTTGTTTAAACCATGGTTGACCTTTAAATCTAAACTGGGAAACTATGGCTCAATCCCTTTTTAGTAACCAGGATATGAAACAAAGATCAAATCCCAGATTCATATCCTGGTGAATAAGCTGGGACTCAAGCAATTTCCTGGTTTGGATGTAATAGAAAAATGTGATTTAAGCAAGTCATGGTTTCAGGGGGAGGAAAGAATACCCAGGGGTACTATATATAGCTTGTTCTTGGGTTGATCAGCCATGGTTTATAAGTCCAAGGTTATTATGCCTGAACCAGTCTTCTGAACTGATTTTCTCCTCTAACTTGGAACCTTCCTCCGGCTGAAAGATGCTGAGTTTCCTATCCATTTAATAAATTCCACGCTGTATTGTGCCTATTATTGATTTTATTCTTTTCCTATCTTTTCTGACTGGGTGCCATCATCTTGCTGTATGACCCATCATGACAGAGCCCGAAATTTTGCCTCCCAGCTCACTTTGTACATTTCTTCAGAACACTCCCCCCCCCCCCCGTGTGTATCCTCCAGTTCTTACAAGCTTAGCTTCAGGCACACTTGTAAATACTTTAAACAGTCGCTCTTGGGTTTTTTCCTTCCTGTGCATTTCCCAGTAGCCAGAGAAGTCACATAATAAATCTTGCTGCTGCTGCTTTGTTTATTTCAACCACATTGCCTTCACCCTTAACTTGCCTCAAGCAAATTTGTTCTCTTTTGTAAGTTCTATGAAAATCCCTAGCATATACCTGCCAGAGCAAAAAAATCTATTCGCTATCCAAAGAAACAGGGTGTCTTTCTTTTATTTATCATGACTAATGTTAATACTGGGCTTGGAGAAACAGAGGGGAAGGCAGACACGAATTAATACAAACAAGAACAAAGGTGGGGATAGAGCTGTATGTGCCTTGTAAAAAGCCGTCTCATTTCCTCGGTAATCCAGTTTCTAATTCAATGACACAAATAAGCCTCCCACAATTTAGGGAGAACTTGTTTTGTAAACTTCCTAATGTCCCCTACTGTGCAAACTGCAATAATCTCACCACATGACATAGCAATGCTAGAACTGGACACTGTATTATGAAAAGTGTGTTCCTAACAAAACATAATCGGTGTTAGAGGGTAAGTAACTGATCTTTTTGTTGCTTGCGTCATCCTTACAAATTTGCTGACATGCTCCAGCTATTTCTCTTAGGATATTGGCTACCAAGCAAGAAAAAGTGAAAAGGCCAGAAAACATTGCCTTGGAGAGTTCATGTCTTTGTGAAGATGCTATTCTGCTTAGGCCAACTAAGTTAGAAATGAACCAATATAGATTGCATAGTGAATTTATCTGTAACATTATTAGGCATCTCAAAGAGAAAACAACAGGAAATCAGAAATTAAAAAAAATTAAGTGCATATTCTTCCACTGAATTTAAGAAAACTGTCTGGTGAGAGTACAACTAAACAATACCCAATGGTTGGATGGAATAAAATGTAAATTCATTTTAAAAAATGACCTTCCATTCAAAATCAAATCTGTCTTTCATTTGAAAATCTAAGAATGTAGGTAGGTATGGTTATAAGATGCACACTGTCCTTTGTATTGCTTCTCAAGCCTTGTTCTTATTTTTACAAAATTATGCTTTTCTAATCTGATATCTTGAGGAAAGTTACATTTTAGACATTAAAGGTGCCTCACACTACTAATCTCTATTTCCCCACACTTCTGTCTAACCCTTTTCAACATATCTATTTTTTAAACATGTTTTTTATCTAGCCTTTTTCTTGCAAGCTATGTCAGCCAGGAGTCATTTATTCATTTAAAGCAGAGATTGGGAACCTGTGGCTTTCTAGATGTTGTTGGACTTCATCAGCCCAGCCAGTATGCCCAGTGGTGAGAGATGATGGGAGCTGTAGTCTGATCTAAGGCACACTATTTATGTTGTAGTAGGACTGTGAAATCACAGCAGCGCTGCTCCCTACTGTGCTTGCAGGTAGCACAAGAAACCCAGGACCACTCAGGAGGAGCCCATGCCAGTAGCCCCAAGGATGATGCTGAGATGCAGAATAGCAACATTGCGAGCTCGTCCCGTGTGGTCTGGAGCTACTTGTGGTAGCGTGGTAGCAGTATACGCTAGGGAAAAAACTGCAAGAACAACATGAGTATTGAGTCTAATCCAGATATCTCACGGACCCTGTCCTACCACGTAGACCTGCCCAGTTGTAAAGATCTGTAGGCAGGGTCCTCCTGGTACTATCACCAACCTCTGAGGCTTACAGGGCGGCAACATATGCAAGGGCCTTTTTAGTGGTGGCCCTCAGTGCATGGAAAGCCCTCTTGTCCAAGCTGCACCTGGCCCTATCACTGTCCAATTCCACTGACAGGTCAAGATGCACCTTTTTGCCCAAACCTTTGGATACAGCTTAGTGATATGGAGTACCCACTTCTGTTATATTGTAAAACTCTTTTAAAATACTGTTTTGAACTTATTTTTAATTACTTAAATTGTGTTCTGGAGATGTCCATAACCTGCCCTAAGACGAACGGCAGGCTACAAATTCAAATGAACCAACAAGCCTCAAAGTGGATCTAGGAATCCAGAAGTGAGAGAGGGCATTTTAGAAGAGAAGAAGAGAAGAGTCTGGATTTGATATCCCGTCTTTCACTCCCTTTAAGGAGTCTCAAAGCGGCTAACATTCTCCTTTCCCTTCCTCCCCACAACAAACACTCTGTGAGGTGAGTGGGGCTGAGAGACTTCAAAGAAGTGTGACTGGCCCAAGGTCACCCAGCAGCTGCATGTGGAGGAGCAGGGATGCGAACCCGGTTCCCCAGATTACGAGACTACCGCTCTTAACCACTACACCACACTGGCTCTTTTATCAGCTGCAGAAGAGACCGTTCCCCAAAGATGCTCCATACAACTGCCATGCAGCTTCTCCATGCAACTTCTGCTTTGTCCACGTGGTGATGAGAACAGTGACAAAATTGAAGACAGAATAAACTTGCTTTCTGCTATTGCTGAAAGGTCAAAGCAGTGTAGTAAAACAACAAAATTGTGACCTCCTAATCGCCCCACCCAATCTGAAGTTTCTGCCATCGCCATCACATTGCTCCCAACAAATTCCAATGCAGGGCAGATTCACAATAGCTTTTACCCCTACTGCACAATGTCACCTCTTTCCAATGTCAGGAAAACCGAAACTAATAAGAGTTTTCATGGCAATAATATGGCCCCACAGTTCCTGAGCCTCCATACCTTCCTTGTTTGTCCATGTCTTTCCTTCCAATAATATTTAGTCCCTCCAGTTCTTAAGCCATTTATGAAATCTTGCATCAGACCTTTGTCTCTCCTTTTTTGGAGAGGTCTAATCCTCCCAACACACCGTCCAGAGGGAGGTGACCAAAGACAGTAGCTACTGCTCCTTGCAACTACCTCCACAGCTTGCTGACCTGAGCAGGCAAGAAGCATCTCGTGCTACCTTCACTTTTTCTGTCTCAGTCTTCTTCAATCATGGGTCTCCAAATGTTGTTAGACTGCAGTTCCCATCATCCCTGACCACTGGGCAAGCTGGCTGGACATGATGGGAATTCTAGTCCAACACCTGGAGACCCAAGGTTGAGGAGCACTGTGCTAGATGGCATGGCCACTGGAACTGGGTGAAACAGGCCTAGCCTTCCCAGAGGGAGCCTATGAAGCTGCTCCTTGAGGATACCTGACAGTAGAGATGCTAGAAGCAAAGCCCCATCCTCTGTGCTGCCCAGAGGGAGATGGTGATGAAGGGAAGGCAATGGCTGCTCTTAACCTCCATCACTTGCCCAAAGATCAGTCTCACCTTGCCTGCTCACTCCTTCTAAGCAGCAGTGCCCAGCCTATTTCCTATTGCTACCCACTGCAGACAGAAAAGCAGCAGCCTCAACCACTTCTTTGGACAGTTGCCTGCTTCCCTGCATGGGTGTTAGGAGCTATTGCTGCCACTGTGACACAGCATCCAAGCAAGATCTACACTTCTCTGGGGATCCCCCTGACAGTGGTGGTGGCGGCTTGTCAGGGGTGGGTACCAGAGGACCTTTAGGCACCAGAGGACTGGTGCCTAAACTATTCACCAATACCAGCCTCTGCTGCCAGCCATAGAATAGGATATGAATGGGGTGTGTGTGACGGAATAAAAATAATAAGGGTATATTGTTGTTTAGTCGTTTAGTCGTGTCCAGCTCTTCGTGACCCCATGGACCAGAGAACACCAGGCACTTCTCTCTTCCACCGCCTCCCGCAGTTTGGTCAAACTCATGCTGGTAGCTTTGAGAACACTGTCCACCATCTCATCCTCTGTCGTCCCCTTCTCCTTGTGCCCTCAATCTTTCTCAACATCAGGGTGATTTATGGGGTTATTTTCATGTTTTCAGCGTTGTTCCGTCCATTAGATTTCTGCAAGAAAGAAAAGCGGAGCTGCTTGATGGCAAATGCCTTGCCCCTTATCAATGGGCACTTGCCACCATGGCTATGTTCTACCTCCACTATCAGGGAAATTATGTGTCTCAATACTAGTTATCGGGAACTGTGAGTGGGCACAGAGTGCTGTTCAGCTCAGGCCCAGCTTGCAGGGTTTGTACAGGCACCTGGTTGGTCACTGTGAGAAAAGGATGCTGAGACCTTAGAGTGAAGTGTGGGTAAATAATGATCCAGCAGGCTGCCAGCTCCAGTTCCGCAGCTTGCTGACAGCTCTACCTTCGGCTTCTTCCCAGCATCCTTCATCAGCACTCTGGGTCGCGCAGCCCGCAGGATGAACTGAACCGGAATCCCGCGCGCGGCCAACCTCCCTCGCCACCGCCGTCCTAGGCTCTGTGGGGTTGATTGATTGATTGATTGATTGATTAAAGGAGGGGGAGTGGGCAAAACCCTGAGCTTGGGTTGGATGCTCCTGAGATGACGTCACGCCCTCGCACTTCCAATCACTTCCAGCCTTCGTTTCCCTACGGCCTCCCTTTCCTTTGCCCAATCGGAAGCCGGCATTTCCCCCGCGCGCTCTCGCTCTCTCTCTCCCCCCTCCCCTTTCCCACTTCTCCCTCAGCGTCTGAAGTCATCGGAATGAGCAGGAACTCGCTCCCGACTGCCCCGACTACTTGCCCCGCCCACGCCAGTCAGCTGCTGCTGCTACTGCTACTGCCGCGCGCGCCCGGCCTGCCCGTGCGCGAGCGCGCCTCCCGTGAGAATTCCCGCCCTGCCGCTTCTCTTTCCTCCTCCCGCCTCCTCAGGTTCTGTCCCTCTCTCCCCCCCGCCCCTCTCAGCGAACGCGCTCGAGCGTCGCCGCTCCAAGCGGGAAAGAAGAAAGTTACTCAGCGGGGAGGGGGGGGGGAGCGAAGAGGGAGCGAGGGGGCGGGGCCACCGCCTGGTGCTGGTGGTGGTGGGCGGGGGAAGGAGCCCTGCCTGCGGCATAGTCTGCTCGCCTGCCGGACGGAGGAGCCCGCGCTCGGGATGGGGAGAAGCGACTGGCGTGGCGGCGGCGTCGCACCGGAGGAGGTGAGGTCCCTCAGGGGACGCGGCGGTGCTGCTGCTGAGGTGGCCGTGGAGTGGGGGGTGGGGGGCTCCCATGAGGGGGAAGCGGCGCCTCAGACGCGGAGCGAGCGAGGAGCGCCGGCCGAAGAGGCACGTCTGGGTAGGAGGAGGGGAAGGGAAGCGAGGTGGCCAACGGCTGGCCTTTCGAAAAGCCGGTCGGTTGAGAACTGGGGGTGGGGGGGTAGGGAGCGAGGCCCTTGGCCAGCTTCTCTCTCTTCCACGTCCACACACACCCTCACCCTCCTCCCTCCAGCCTGGAACTTCCTGGCACGGAAAGTTTTTCCTCCGGCGGCAGGTGCCTGAGGCGGCGGCGGCGGCGGGTGTGAGCTGAGTTTAACCCCCTCACGGGCCAGCTCGTTGCTGCCCTCTCGGATTTGGCCCAGCATGTCTGGTGGTCGAGCTGGTCGGCTTCTTATGCGGGGGGGGGGCCCCCCAAACACGACACGCCTCTGCTGCTGCCACCCCTCGCATTCTCACGCATCCCTCCAGGGCCCTTCGCGGGGTGGGCGGGGGAGTTAAGGGTAGGGTCTCCTTGGTGAAAAGCCTTTCTTTCTCGTCCACCATCGCCTTTAAAACAACAAGAAGAACCTGTTCCTCTCCTCCTACCCTATGTATATTTTTCCTTTTGGTTGGCGAGCCCTTCGAGCCGTTTTTTTTAACCCTTTAAAAAATAATAATAAAACTCTCTTCCTCCTTGTTTACTACTTCACGCTTTCTGCTCCAGCCGTATCTGTTTATTGGCTGTTGAAATGGCTGGGCTTATGACAACTCTCCGCCCATACTTTGCTCTTTAATCCGGAGCCTTCCTTAAGTGTTTACATGCTGCCGCTCACCCACAGCGTGTGGTACGGTTTCTGGTTTTCCCCCCTCTCCTCTCCTCCCAAAAGCCCCCTCCATGGTTAATTTCAGCAGATATTATTACATCGAATGAAGAAGCAAGTAATCAGCATGCTTGTGACTGGAAAGCGTGTTTAGGGCGAGGAATGGTCCGGGGTTGAGAGACTGGCCCACGCACTGGGCCATTGTTTTGACTGCCGTTGCATCAGACAAGGTTTTGCTAAATTTAACCTTTCCGGATCATTGAAACCTGTGTGAATAGGATCTGCATAGTATCCAGTACAGTATCTGATTTCCCATTCTTGGGTATGTGTTGGTCAGTTTCGAGCAGATTTTTGTCCCTGTTTTAATCCTGTGTCTTCTCTAATTTGAGTTTGTTGATCTTCTTGCATGAAAAAGACCCACAAATGACATGCCATATTCTTTAAAAAATATTTTTGTGGTTTGCATAAAATACTTGGGATACCTAATTCTGAGTATCTATGTTCATGAACATGTTAAATCAACGAAACTTCATTTTGTTAATGTGGCTAGCTTCAAAAGTGTTAACATAAGTGTTAATTTTTAACCTGGATGTTACACACATGCTCAGTGATTGGCATTAAGTAAGGAAACTGCTTTTGAAGTTTATAGGCAGTTTATGTGTGGCTTGCTGTACTGCTTATGAAATGAAAGGGTGACATAACTATTAGGTATTTACAGTTTTCTTCACGGAGCAGTAGAACTGATACTTTGTTTTCTGTGAAGTTTTTCAGATACCACATTATGCTTTTGTGAAAGAGCCACCCAGGGAACTTTGGTAATAACACAGTATTTGGATGAATAAATACTTGCCGTATGCATTGAATGGATAAATACATGTACAGTATTAGCTTGTTTGTTGGGTGGGATATATTTCTTGCCCAAAGCCACGCTTCATAGAAGCAAGTAGTGCAGCAAAGGTGGCTGCAGTGGGGGTGGGGAGAATTAACAGAAATTGGAGCCCTTCACCCTTGAGTGAACAGAAGTACCTTTCTGAAAACAGGTCCAATTGAGCACAGTAGTATTTGCTCCTCCAAGCTTCAATACCCAATGTGTTAATTCTTTCAATGCAGTAAAGGTAATAAAGGTAAAGGACCCCTGGACTGTTAAGTCCAGTCAAATTCGACTGGGGGGTGCGGCACTCGTCTTTGCTTGCAGGCTGAGGGAGATAGCGTTTCTGAAGAAACCCACTGAAAAATCAAATAGTAAAAAAATATTGTAGCAATTGTCTTAAGTGAATATAATTCATACTTTGAACTGAATGAAGCAGATCAGATTGCAGTATTTGCTAGTAATGTTAAACGGCTATAAATCTTGGAAGCATTTCAAACTAGATTCAAAACATCAGATGCAGGCATTGTTTCAGTAATCTGTCAAATGCCTTGCAGAGTAAGAAGTGGAAATTCTCAAGCCATAGTTATTTGATGTTTTCAAAACTTTCCCGGTTATTTATTTTTGTAAATATTTCCACCTTCCTGAAAACTGACTCCACGTATTCAGGACATGGTTCCACCCCTGTGCATTGTATGAAAAGATTATTAGTGGAATCTTGATGTTAAATTCACAAGTCTTGGGACATAGAAGTTCTTTCTAAGTCTTCTAAGATTTAGTTTGCTAGAGCATGCATAGGCAAACTCGGCCCTCCAGATGTTTTGGGACTACAACTCCCATCATCCCTGACCACTGGTTCTGTTAGCTAGGGATGATGGGAGTTGTAGCCCAAAACATATAGAGGGCCGTGTTTGCTTATGCCTGTGCTAGGGGAATGGGCTTATAGTGTTATAGTATACCATTTTGCAATATGAAACTATGAAATACTCTTCCCAAGTAAACTTCTCAGAATGGAAATATGAGGATATTGAGGAAGCAGTGTAGAACTTGTTTTTATTTCAACTGGCTTTCTGGAGAGCAGAGGGTTGAAATTTTAAAATGGGTAAAAATATTTTAATTTTTTTGCCTTTTAGGTATAACATAGGACCTTCAGCTATAAAACGAAATAACTCTAGATCATTAGTTGCAAGAGGGATGCACTAGCACTAGTTTAGCACAGTCATGCAAAACTGAATATTTAAAGAATGTTCACCACTCAAAAAAGTATATTTTCTGTGGTGGTGGTGGGGAAGCTCGTTCCATTTGCATAAGGGACTGTTTATGCAGAAGGAGGAAGAACTAAAATCATACCCCCCCCCACAAAGGTTCAAACAAGAGTAGAGTTCCACTAAAGGTAAATTCTTGGGGGTCAGAAGCAATTTCTGAGTATGTATTTATTTAAAATCACAGTTGTCTCTGAGCGGTGGGGATCAGATTGAATACAATAAAGATTAAATCAGTTAAACTATAAAATCAGAAATTACTTTTAATACCTGCTGGAATAAGAAAATATTCAGTAGATGAACATATTCAGTAGATGCTGGAGGTTCAATAGGAAGGTCTTATCCTAGGTCCTATGAAATCTAAAGGGTTTTGGGGAAGAGATAGCTCTCCTTCAAACTAAAAATCGCACTATGTCAATAAATATATTTATTAAATATGGTCATATTTTAACTTCATGAAATGGAAGTTGCTGTACTTTTTATTGTTCTTACTGGGAGAAGGGAGTCAGACAGTGCTGCATGTTGTGGCTGCTTTATCGTGGAAGAATAGTGGTGGTAATGGCTGATACAGTGGGGATGATGTCAGGAACTCTGTTTAAATCAGCAGGTATTACAAATGGCCTGCCACTGTTAGCTAAGTACATAAGACCTGTACTGGATCAGACCAAAGGCCTGTCTAGTCTGGCATCCTATTTTCCAAAGTGGTCACCCTGGAGTTTCCTGAAGGTGCACAAAAAGGACATGATAACAACAGTTCTCCCACAGCCAAGGTGTGTGGCCACTGATCATGGATATTTATGGTTGATAAACAAACTGTTGATAAACAAACCTTCCATTAATGTGTTTAAGCAAGTGACTATCATTTATATTTTGTGGCAGGAAATTCCATAAGTTTATGCATCATGTGTGAAGTAGTACTTCCTTTTGACTGTTGTGAATCTACCATATTTAATTTGCCTGAGTGTCAATAGTATGAGAAAAGGAGAAGCATTTCTCTGCTTTCTCTTCAACATTCTTAACTTCTATTATGATGTTCCCTCTTCTGAACAAAAAGCCCCAGCCTTTCTGTTGTTAGGGAAAGTATCTCAGCCCCTTGATCATTGGAGTTGCCAACTTTCACAGCTCTGATACCCTTTTTGACATGGGGATTCTGGGTGTTAAAAAGCCACTTGCAGTTTCTGTTCATAGGACAAATTATTCTGGCCTTTGCTGAATGTTGCACATGGGTTAATATTCCTTACAGCTTTGTGTTGATAAAGGTATCTCGTATTTGCTACCACTCCTAACAGTATTTTAAGTCAGACAAAAAAAAAGTTCTTTTGAGACTGGCCTGCATACATTTGTCAGCATTTTTGTAATAATTATTGGTTCTCTGAGAACAGACAGTGTTTTGTTTTTAGACCACCCACGGTGCCTAGCATCAAATGATGAAATGAATATTTTCATGTTTGTTTTCTCTAATTTTGGTTAATACCATAAACATGTTATTTCAATAACCTCACACACAAAGAAAAATTGTCAGTCTGTTGTTTGAATCTGGGTCTAGAAGCACAAAAAATGTGGAGTGGTTCAGAAAATGTGTAAGAGGTTGGATAGGGAGATAAACCTAATGTGTTACTCACATAAGGTGGATTTAGTGTTTGAAAATATATTGTAATGCTGGGCTTCTACCAAGTTGCTTCGGATGTTTCATTCATCTGACATTTTGGGTATGTTGATGTATTCCAGTTTATGTGGAAATGTATATAGGCTCTTGTTTTGAGCATACCTTAGCTGTTAAAATTTAGTGCTAGTACCTCTGGAACTGAAATAACAAGTTGCTACAAGAAGTGCAGTTTAAATGATACCATTGCATGAGTACAAAGAGTTCTGTAGAACTGGTGGAAAAATACATAAAATGTTGGCTTGGTTCAAAGTAACGTTATTCTCTTTTTGTACAGCCTTTATCTGTAGTTACACTCATTCAGTACTACAAATATCTTTTCTCAGAAGTCAACTATCTAATGTTTTTATTTTGTCTTCTGGATTTACTCATTACCTGTGTATCCTTTTGATTGTATTGTAGCTCTAAAAAGACAGCTAACTGAGCAGCACTGAGTAACTCAGAATAATATTAGTAGTAATTCAGTCGGGATATTTCAAGAGCATGGATGATAATGGGCAGACCATCCCCATCCAAGAGCAGTCATATCTGCTGAACCAGCTAAAGCTGGAAAAAGGCCACCTGGGTCTCAAATGACAGAGCTTGATCAAGGGACATTGCTACGCAATACATCTGCTTTGTTGAGTACAGCTTCATCTAGAACAGTCTGCACTCCCAGAGTCTGAACACAAGAACACTGGTGCAAGTGACCTCAGACTTACAGGGATTTAGCCTCAGTTTCATGATCCTCATCCAGCCCAATACCAAGTCTAAACATTGGTCAGTCTCACCTGATTCAATGGAAAGAGAAGTAGAGCTGAATATTATTAGCTTACTGATGGTGCCTCACCCAAATTCTCCTAATGCCACCACCCAGTCAGTGGCTTCATATAGATCAGAGATGGGAACCTGTGGTCCTCTAGATATTGGAGTCCAGCTCCCATCAATCCCAGCCAGCATGGCAAGTGGTCAGAGATGTTGGGAGTTGTAATCCAGCAATATTTTGAGGGCCACAGATTCTCCATCTCTGATATAGATGTTAAAAAGATTGATAGAATAGAACATTGTGGGATCCCACAGCACAACTGGCATGGGGGCTGAGGAGCCCCCCATGCCATCTTCTGAAGCTAACCCTGTAGATAGGTTGGACCCAACTTATATCTATGCCTTCTACCCCCAATCCACAAAGCCTGTGTTATTTTATTTTATTAAAAGTCACTGTGGGAGCAAGGAGGAGACGAGCAGGGTTGCATTCCAACTCCTGGCAGTGATCATTAGCTAAAGCTGTTTCAGTGTAAAACCAAACCTAGGCACAGAATGAAATGGGTCTAGGTAGTGAGTTTCATCCAAAAGCACATTGAGTTGGCTGCCAGCGGGTATTTGTGCCCCAAGGATTTCATATGTTATGCTATCAATATATAGAAACCTAGAATTGGAAAGGAAAGCTAACAGCTGGATCTTAAGATAAGTTAATTCAAAGGTCCATAGAAAGAAAGCTTTCTGTTCCATTATCATAACTACATTCCCCACATTGAGACCCATGTTGGGCGAATGATTCCTACACTGCAGGGGGTTGGACTAGATGACCCTTCCAATTCTACTTTTCTATGATTGAGTTCAACATGGTCAGCTTAAGAAATGCCTTGATTAGCTAACGCTCTCTTTTTGTAGTGGTTGACAGTAGTTAAATGTGAGGTGATGATTTTAGGAAGCTTTTTAATCAGTTGGTAGATGTATTCTACTTGGTAGATGCTTTATACCAAGGTTCCATTGGCAAATGTTTAGCTGAAATGCATGTTGCATCATCTGTATGTTCTTCTGACAGATTCCTGGGATCACTCATTCCAAATGGTGAAATGGTCCTGGAAATTGAAGTTATTAAATCCACTTACTATCTCTCTCTTCAGCTCTTACAACCCATCTCTTCATCCCAACTAAATAGCTGGAATAGAGAGAAGCCCTGTGTATCCATCTATGTTCTGTCTTTGCTGCTGTCAGCTGTGTACTTCAACTTTTTTGCTAATTTCAGATTCCCTCTCCCTTTCTCCTTACAGATTTTGAAAGAAGACAGATACACAGTGGAATTACTTTTGCAAACCACAGGAAGAAATGTGATTTATTTCTTAAAACGAAGAGAAAGAACCAACCTGCAAAAAGACTGATTATAGCTAAAACTAGCTAAGAATTCCTGTTTTTTTTCAATATAAAGCTGCCATAGTATTTAAATATTATCTTCCAAAGAGTCATTTGCACTAATATTAAAGAAGAAGAAAAGGTGAAATGCTATAAAGATTGTCCATAAGTATTTGTATGGCTTATCATCATAATATTACATGATCTACTCATCAGAACAAAGTTTTTCACATTTTATTTTATCTTTATTTTTTAAAATAAAAAGAGTAGATGCGATATTGACTTAATGCAATCCGAAGACTTGGACTTCTGAACACAATGCCGTAACTTAAAGGCAACTGTCAGGACTAGGTTTGCTTTGCTTGGAATCCTTCAGTCTTATTTTATAAACACTGTTTCCTAAATAATGGCATGGGTAAAGTTCTTGAGGAAACCTGGAGGAAACCTTGGAAAAGTATATCAACCTGGAAGTGTGATGTCTTTGGCGCCTACCAAGGGCTTGCTAAATGAACCAGGACAAAACAGTTGCTTTCTTAATAGTGCTGTACAGGTAAGGAACTCCTCATATTTAATGCAATAAAACACAGCTCAAACACCTATTTAGTCCAGCATTGTATTTCACGTAGTGTCCAATCAGATTAAGCCTACAAGCTTCATAAGTTATATTGAAAGCTGGCTATTAATATCTTTAAAATTCATCCCCCCCCCCCCGCCATTCACTATGTATCTTCCAAGATTGTACATGGTGGCAAGAATGAGAAGGAGCAACAGCCTCCATTTTCCTTGCCTTGCCTTTTGTACAGTTTGGTTCGAGAAGGAGGGGATGCAAGTGAATTGGCAATAGTGACTGTGGTGAGGAGGTGAGTCCACAAGAACCCAACAGCCAGCAGCAAATTGAAGTCTGCTGTATATAATTTATAGACTCTTGAAACCAATGTTTCTATGAAGCATATATATGCTAATCTAACTGTTCCTAACCTTGAGTCTCCCAATGTATTTGCTAAGCAATTCAGGCCAACAAATAACTTTCATGTAATTTGAAACTTTTAAAAAAAACACCCGCAAGGCTAGCAAATGACCACAGTGGCTTCCCATTATTGAGCTGGTGTATTTTCCAGAAAGGGCTGCCATTTTCCCTTGTATGGTGGCTAGCATGTCTGATAATTGCTGCTTGTTTGTATGAACAGGCTCTTATTCTACTTATGCTGAATTTGTAGGCCTTCATAATATTGTGGTCATTTGTATTCCATAGAAAATACATGTTAAGCTGCAACTGAATTTTATCTTAGTTGTGCTAAATTACATTTTGCTTTAGTATGCACATATTATCAATGTTTGTCATTTAATCATTTTTGGTAGAAGACATGGAAATGCTGTTTACCTTCCCACCACAGCGGTACCTATTTGTGTACTTGCACTGGTGTGGTTTCGAACTGCTTGGTTGGCAGAAGCTGGGGACAGAGCAACGGGAGCTTACGCACATGTATTTAAACAAATTTGACACTGTGTTTTCAGAGGTTGATGAAGTAGTGGTTATCTTCCTTGGCCAAGAGGTACCACTTAATCAAAGTAGGACTGCAGACTTGAATACATCACTCATAATTGGAAAACTTTCCCTTTAATTGATCAGCATTTCAGCATGGGTGTTATCAAGCTTTGCTTAAGTAGGAAGAAAATAATTCCTTTGAAAAGCCTTTAATAGGTTTCTTTTACTAACCTATTAATGCCACACACACAGTTACAAAAGATTCAAGAATATGTGAACATACCGTATTTTTCGCTCCATTGGACGCACCCGACCATAGGGCGCATCTAGTTTTTAGAGGAGGAAAACAAGGAAAAAATATTCTGAATCAAATGTTGTATAAACTACTGTATTTAATAAACAACTGGTATATCAGAATCACATTACAGCCATGTAAAGTGAACAGCAGTCAACAATGGCATTAAGAACCATCATCACTGTCATTAACAAATGAAGAGAGACTTTAAGGTTTGAGTACTCTTCTAGTCTGTGAACCCCAAGAACTCATCACTGCTAAAGTCAGAATTTATGAAGCTCAGTTGCTCACAGTCAGAGACATCACTTTCTTCGCTATCTTCATGTAAAATACCATCTTCGTATCCATCCAAAGCATTGCTAATGCCACATTTTTTCCTCTCAATCCTCTTCCTCCCCTCTCTCAGCGAACAGCCTGCCAGCTGCTCGCAAACATTCCCTTTACTTGAATTACAGTCAAGAAACAGCCAAGCAGAGCTTCTCAGTAGCAGGCTTGGGAGGCTTTCCTTTTCCCCACATTTTTCTCCCCCCCCCCAGCAGAACAGCCCCCTTTTCCAGCCTCCTCCTCTCCATCCCTTTCACCCAAACTCCTCAGGTGACGTCTACAATTGCTCCCCTTCACTGCTCCCTCTCCTTTGCCCTCTACCATGACTCTCCACTCACGGCAACCTATGGTACCTCATCTCCCTTCACCCAGCTTCTTGGTCCCCCTCCTCTCCGTCCTCTTCCTCCCCTCTCTCAGTGAACAGCCTGCCCGCTGCTCCAAACCTTGAGGGGAAGGGCAGGCTGCTGGCAGAGCAGCACCCCCCACCCCCATTCAGCAGCCCTGGAGCGTGGGGCATGGGCGCACAGCCTGCCCACTGCTCCAAACCTTGAGGGGAAGGGCAGGCTGCTGGCAGAGCAGCACCCCCCACCCCCATTCAGCAGCCCTGGAGCGTGGGGCATGGGCGCACAGCCTGCCCGCTGCTCCAAACCTTGAGGGGAAGGGCAGGCTGCTGGCAGAGCAGCACCCCCCACCCCCATTCAGCAGCCCAGGAGTGTGGGGCATAGGCGCACAGCCTGCCCACTGCTCCAAACCTAGAGGGGAAAGGCAGGCTGCTGGCACAGCAGCACCCCCCACCCCCATTCAGCAGCCCAGGAGTGTGGGGCATAGGCGCACAGCCTGCCCACTGCTCCAAACCTAGAGGGGAAAGGCAGGCTGCTGGCACAGCAGCACCCCCCACCCCCATTCAGCAGCCCAGGAGTGTGGGGCATAGGCGCATAGCCTGCCCACTGCTCCAAACCTTGAGGGGAAAGGCAGGCTGCTGGCACAGCAGCACCCCCCACCCCCATTCAGCAGCCCAGGAGTGTGGGGCATAGGCGCATAGCCTTCCCGTTGCTCCAAAGCTGCAGAGGGAAGCAGAGGCTGCCGGCAGACGAGCGAGGCTCTCCCCTCCGCCCCCATTCAGCAGCCCAGAAGCGCGGGGATGGGCGCACAGCCCTCCCGTTCCTCCAAAGCTTCCCGGGGCTGCAGGGGGAAGCCGAGGCTGCCGGCAGGGGAGCGCGGCTCTCCCCCCCCCCCCGCCCCCATTCAGCAGCCCAGGAGTGCGGGGCAGGGGCGCACAGCCCTCCCATTCCTCCAAAGCTTCCCGGGGCTGCAGAGGGAAGCCGAGGCTGCCGGCAGGGGAGCGCGGCTCTCCCCCCCCCCCCCGCCCCCATTCAGCAGCCCAGGAGTGCGGGGCAGGGGCGCACAGCCCTCCCGTTCCTCCAAAGCTTCCCGGGGCTGCAGGGGGAAGCCGAGGCTGCCGGCAGGGGAGAGCGGCTCTCCCGCCCCCCCGCCCCCATTCAGCAGCCCAGGAGTGCGGGGCAGGGGCGCATAGCCCTCCCGTTCCTCCAAAGCTTCCCGGGGCTGCAGGGGGAAGCCGAAGCTGCCGGCAGGGGAGCGCGGCTCCACCACCACTACCAAAGACCAGTCCAAGAGTGTGCCGCACTCCGACAATTTGGCCCCAGGGACCACACATTCGCTCCATAGGACGCACAGACATTTCCCCTTACTTTTTAAGAGTAAAAAAGTGCGTCCAATGGTGCGAAAAATACGGTAAATTACCATCAGAAGTAAATTGAGAGCATTTTAGAATGCACATTAAATGAAGTTAAATGATAACTTGTAACTGATGTGTTTGGAGTGAATATGCACTGCTATATATGCATTTAAATAGGGCCATGCTGGCATTAGATTTTCTTCATAGTCCTACTTTAAATGTCTTTGCACTTTGACATCGTATCCCTTCTTTCTAGTATTTGTTCAAAAAGAGTAAGATAGGATAGAAGGATTTGGGATTTGTTCATGGAGAGAATTACATGTGCAGACAAAGCTTGATTTGATGTTTTCAGCAGTTAGAATTGCTGTATTAGAGACAAACCACTGTTTAAATTGAACCATAGCTGGTCATCTCAGCCACTGAAAACAGCTCTGTGTGTGATAACCTTTCAGCTATCATGGGGGAAAGTAGCTACAGTATTTCAGTGATAATTCTAATACTTCTTAGTTTTAGATCTTCCAATTATTCTCCCTTCTAACAAGTAGTAGTTTGAATTTGCATATGCATAACTTAATTTTTTTTCAGTGAATCTAATGGCACAACTAAAAGGATCCTATTTCTAAACCAGAGATGATGAGCCTACAACTCCCAGCATCCCTTGGCAGCATGATCAGTGGTCATGAATGATGGGAATTGTAGTCCAGCAACATCCCTGCTCTGAACCATCATTCATTATACTGTCCATCATACAAAGATCACAGGCTGGTTTACAAAAATACATACCATAATAACAAACAAAAACAATACCACTCTCCCCACAGTTTAAAAGGCCATAGATTGTTTAATTAGCCAAAGACCTGGGAGAAGAGCAATGTTTTGCCTTATGCCTAAAGATATGTGTGCCAGGTGAAACTCCCTGGGGAGAGCATTCCACAAGAGGGGGAGTCACTGCAGAAAAGGCCCATTCTTGTGTTGCAATCCTCTGGACCTCCCACAGAGGAAGCAGATAAAGGAGGGACTCAGATGATGATCGCAGGATCCGGGGTCTAGTACTCCATGTTGTCATGGTGTATCAGTACTGTAATGAAAGATCAGTTTATTGTAGGCCTTCAACTATATATGTGGACAAATATGTTATTGAAGAAATTGAAGCTTTTATTTTCTGCCTCCTCATCTTAGGTTTTATGGCAACTTGACATATTTCGGCGAAGTTTAAGAGGTCTATCAGGACATGTTTGTCAGGGTGATGCCTGCATATTCTGTGCTTTAAAGGTAAGTTTAGAATCACAGTATCCAGTTCATAAAGAGATTTTGAAATTCTTATTCAAGGGAAACATGATTCAAAACTTGTTTTTGTAAAGGAGCATTTGTTAACAACTATAATTGCTGCCACTTAAGTATTTTGTATGCTGTTGTAATTACAGCTATGGAATATGGATTAGAAAACTGGGAAAGAGGGGACAGGGGAGTCTCTTTAAATCCCTAATAGCATATCCTTGAGAGGGAGAGCAGGGAGTGCTAGAAATCCGAGCATGAACACTTCTTTGAGGATATACTGAAACATTGTGTTGCCGGTCCCACTTGTCATTGTTTCATGGAACTTCCATGCTCAGTATACCAGCTGCTGGGGTGCAACTGTGGAATTTGGTTAATGTCCCCATGCACTGCTTTTGGGTTTTCTGGAGACTACTGATTAAACATAGAGACATAGAGGGAAGCAGGTTGTTAGATTAAATTGATAGTTTCTGATTCAGAGGGCGCTTACATTCCCTTCACCAGTGCAAGGATTGCTACCGCCCTAGGGCAATGTCTCATTGCAAATCCCATTTATTTTCTTCAAGGTGTAGTTGTGCAGAAAATGGGAAACATGGCCCAATAGAGGGGACAGGTAATAAGTTTTTTCTCTACTAGAAGAAGTAGTATTTGGTATTGCACTGTGTTCAATACATCAGACTTCACTGAATTTTCTCCTAGATGAAGAAACCATTGGAGTATGCTAGCCTATTTAAAAACTGGCTATTCAGAACTATTAATTAATGGTACTGTTGACTTTCAGACTATATTTGCACAGTTCCAGCACAGTCGAGAAAAAGCACTCCCATCAAATAATATGAGGCATGCCTTGGCTGAAAGCTTTAAAGATGAACAGCGATTTCAACTTGGTTTCATGGATGATGCAGCAGAATGTTTTGTAAGAGCTTGATATTATGCTTTTCTTTAAAATTTGTCTTTGATACTTTGTGGCAGTGATATGGTTAGTTTGGATACAAGAGAGCCATATTCACAGCTCTCACTGAAGCATCTTAACCTGTAGGTGTCTGGTATCACCGGGGTTTAGGATGAGAATAAATTGAAAGGAATCTAAATATTTTGGACACTAAAGTTCTATAGCCTTTTTTTAAAAAGGCAGACTTGAGAAGAATACAGATGGTATATATTTAATACAATTATTGTTGGAGACATTGTTTACTGTCCATTACCTGGAGTTTAGTGAACTGTAATTCATAGCAAGTGAAGAAACAGTGTGCCTTGTGCTTTGCTTCACCATCATGTGGCATGAGGGTATCTGGGAGGGTACTGGACCTTCAGCATGGGAGTCTGGCATAACATTATAGGGAGTCTGAATGCTGGGAAAGCAGGATATAAATCTATTAAATGAATCAATGCATTCCTTTGTTTAGGAAAACATCCTTGAGAGAATTCACTATCACATAGTGCCAAGCAGTGAAACAGATATGTGTACTTCTAAATCCTGCATTTCCCATCAGAAGTTTGCTATGACATTATATGAACAGGTAAGGTTTGTGTTTGTTGTTGAATTTAGTGCTCTTAAAGTTTCCAAAGTTACAAAAATTAAAACTTCTTTTATTTGTAGTGTGTATGTCGCAGTTGTGGGGCATCTTCAGATCCTTTGCCTTTCACAGAATTTGTGCGTTACATTTCAACAACAGCTCTATGGTAAGAGACCTTGTTTTCTCCTTTATTCTTCCCCAGACCTCTTTCATTTTGTTCTTTTTATTTCCAGATTCTCATAATATGAGAACTGGGAATTCCAAGGAATAGTGGAGAATAGAATGGAAGTGGGTGTGTTCAATACCTTGTTGATAAACTGAATAATGCTTTAAAAATTCACTAACTCCAAGGGATACACATTTTTGTACAGATTTCCATAACACCTGTTACATGAGGATCAAACACGTATGTAGCTAGCCTTCCTAGGACACTGCTACGGTTACAGGCTATATGGTCCTTTTTTCTGTGTTGTACCAAAAGTTAAATCACTGGTTTATTTATTTATTTGAAATATCCTAAAGACATTGTAACACAATAAAACAGAGAAACGAGAGAGATGACTATTCTGCAAGAGTTAAGGATTCAATGACATTTGAGGAAGCAGTGGAATTGGGTCATGTTTGAAAATATGCACATTCAGCATATTTTACATCTACCCTTCCTCTGCAGTAACATTTCACACCATCTATCTGATTCTGGTTCGTTCTAATAAAACATAGTTCTTAACCTAGTTTGGACATAACAACAGGTTATAAGTTTAAATCAGGTAGCATATGCTTTTGATCTCCTCCTTCTGGCACTTGCTAGAGGAGGAGAGGGGAAGCGGCATGCTTGAGCACAAGACTTCTGCAGGGAAGTTCATGTAGCCCTAAACTATGGCTCAGTGTTCTGTAGGAACCAGGCAATTGAATCAGCTCTAGTCTTTCACCCTCAAGAGCAGGGCATCAATTTGGACTGATAGGAATTGAATCCCACTGGGATGACAGGAAGCAAGATTGACTTATGTTCCATGGCAGGAGCTACTTAAAGACACGACTGTTTCTAGCCTCTGAAGAGAGAACAGGAGTTTACTTAACTCCTGCTAGGTCCCCACCCCCCTTTCTTTTAAATTAACACTAGGGACAGTTTATTTGCCTTTCTCTCACCCAGTCTCACACCTTGCTGAGTTAAGCAGGGCCGGGAGGTGGGTGCCCTGGACAATTTGAGCAGGCAACAAAGGAAGCCCCTCTCTTGGGACCAAATGTTCCTTTTCAGTCCTGGGTCTTGCCCTACCAGGTAGAGTAACTTCCAGTCAGTTTAGGCTGTAGTTCTGCTTCTAGGTAGAATGCAGGCAAGAAGCTATCAAAATACTTTTAACAGGGGGAATATTACAAAACATATGATTATGGCATTATTGTAAGACTTTTATCCATACACTTCATCACATTTATGAGTATTTAGACTATATGTCATAAATGGCCCCTTCCAGAAATAAAATGGCTGGTTTACAGTGATATATACCAATACTGAATGCATAACATACAGATTTAAACTATTTATTAATGTGTCCATAACCTGCAGGGTATTTGAGTTGCCTTACTCTGGTATTACTCTGGAATGCATTTCTCAAATATCATTGATTTTTGAAATCCTTCAAAAGAAATTAGGGTGCAAAATGGTAATGGTTATATAATTCCCTTATTCCTTTTCATACATAGTACCTCTGTCTGATTCTTCATTCTCTGCATAGATTAAGATTTTAGAGTTCTAAAACACCCATATTTGTTGTATAGTACATGGGCCAAATAGCGGAAAATAGCTGTTTGCTACTATAGCACTATATGCTAAGTTTAAAATTTACTTCTTCTTCTCTGCAGCAATGAAGTTGATAGGATGTTGGAAAGACATGAGCGGCTCAAGCCTGAAATGTTTGCAGAACTGCTTCAGACTGCAAATACTACTGATGACTTCAGGAGCTGTCCTGTGAGTAAACAAAAAATGTTTCTGTTTGGGCTAACTTCATAAAAGTGATGAAGCTGAACATTCCATAACTGAAAAGGGAATTTGGTCTGTTTCTTTCTCATTGATTTATATTTAATTTAGACTAATATTGTAAAACTGCCTTGGATTACCACATTCTGAAGCCTTCTTTAGTTGATAAAAAAAAATGTGCTGATAATCCCATGAAGGAGGAGAATAGGAACACACACATTTGCCTCCACTTGTGCAGATTCTTCCCAAAGGTTCTCTTTGGGTTGGGGGCGTGTCTGCAGCAGCTCACTGTACCAAACACACACATAGCCTGCTTGGAGTTCCAGCTCACAGAGACACCCCACATGCATTCAGTAGGCCACCCTGCTGCACACATGCTCTTAATCCACAGGCAGTTTTTGAGATTGGTCACCATGAGCACACACTGCAATGCTCTTCTCTTTCATGGGGTTACTGCCATGTGTCTATGAATACCTGAAGAAGGCTTGAGTGTAGGAGGCAAGTAGAGCATGGACAAGGTCCTCAGGAAGATAGGAAACTGCCTCTTGGATGTGGGAATGAGGAACACTGCTTATTTTCCTCTGGCTCTCAAATGAAGCAAGTCGCTTTGGGCATCTATTTTTTAAAATTGATGTACCTTACTGGGTTCTATACATGGGGCAGGACAGTGTGCTTATTGTTTAGAGTGCATACAGTTGTGCACATGGCTAAATTAATTTATATTCATAAAATTTATTACTCTGCCTACACTCAAACTTAGAAGTATAGGAATGGTCATTTCAGATAATTTGACCTGAAAATAACTGTTGTGATTTAGACCTTTCAGATGTAAATTATGTAGTAGTAAAGGGCTTAAGAAGGCAGAGTAAAATATAATGCTTTATAAAACACAGTGGCATGACTTACTGAACAAAAATAATATTTTGCCTTCAATTACTTCCCTCCTCATTCTGTCAGTATCTGGATGTGTTGCAGAAATATCCAAGTCTGTCAAATAGCAGTAATCTGAGGTCTAAATAACAGTAATCTATCTCTCTGTCTTCTGAAATCTATTGTAGAAAGTAGTAGTAAGAAACTCAGCTGAATAGGGCATAATTATGATTAGTTTGGTGTTTATTTTAGATCTAAATAATAAGTTGCTAAAGTAACATGCCGTTAAGTAATTGTGAGACATATATTGTAACATTTATTCTGAATTCAATGTGAAATAGATAAACCATGAAGATTCAAACTAATTAGTTTTTATCTTTTCTCCTTTTTCTAGAGTAACTGTGGCCAAAAAATAAAAATCCGACGTGTTCTCATGAATTGTCCTGAAATTGTCACAATTGGCTTAGTCTGGGATTCAGAACATTCTGACCTAACAGAAGATGTCATCCGGAATTTGGCAACACAACTTTATCTTCCAGGGGTATTTGAGCAACAGCATTTAATATAATTGCTTTGGGTCATCCTCACCATTTAAGAACTTCTGTGTTCTTTTGAGAGCTTTGTGTACCAAAGAGGTGCTCATTCATTCCTGTCTCATAGTGCCATCCTATGCATATCTACTCAGAAGCCCCACTGAGTTCAGTGAGACTTTATCTTAGGTAAATGTGCATAGGATTGCAAGCTGAAAAGAGGAAAAGTCTATTTTAAAAAAATACCTTAACATTTGAAATGTCCTCTTTTCAGTTACCATAAAATGCTGCAGTACGGCTACAGAATTTAAGTTGCTTTAAAGTGTGACTTTATAAAACAAGATAATATACAACAGATACAAATAAAACTATTTAGAGTTTCCATGCCACTTTTCTATTACAATTTTTAAAAACATTTATTTTGAAAAATTCATTGGTGGTGGTTAGTAAGGTCTCCAGGTGGCATGCAGTAAAATAAATGTATGAAATCCTGTAAAATAAAGTTAGCTGAATGTAGCACAAGATGTTTGCTTAGTGTCAAAATAACATCATAGTTGACTCTTGGTAAGCCTGTCGGGGGGGGGGGTGTATTTCGCAGATAGCGTGTTTAACAGTGGTACCTGATCTCCTTGGTCACCAACTAACAAAAGATAAAGCAAATAATAATGTTTAATTTCATCAGGGAACAAGCTTACTTAAAAGCCCTGGAAAATAATGTGCTCACCTGGCACCGAAAGGAAGTGCCAGGTGGATTCCACAATCAGGGCACTGGCTGGTTAATTGTCAATAGACTTAAAATATTTTGATTAATAAGGCACTCCCAATTAAATGGACAGCATATCTTTGTTAAGTCCCTAATACTTTTCATTACATGTAATGCTACATCTATTTGTAAATTTTGTGTTGTATTGACAATATTGTATTGTGTGGACAAAGTCATTTCTGTTGACAAAGATGCCACCTTACAAGATGAGTCATGCTTATTTATAGATGTGTGCAAGTAAACAAGTTTTTAAAATTTAAGGTATTTATACCTCTACAAAACAAAACAAAACTTTAGCGCAGTGGGTTATAGTCTAGCTAAACTAGTATAAATAACTTTTTAAAAACAGTAACAATTCAATAAAAAACCCAACAATTCTTAATCTTTTTCAGTTCTCTGACTAAAGATTGTAGGACACAAACAAATTTTAGAGCAGTTTAAGGAGATGGGAAATCCTGATTCAGAGCAAAAAAATTGACAATCATTTTTGAGATTGCCTGAAGGAGTTTGCCCTGTTATGGTCCAGTCATGCTGCAATTAGGAACATGTCATCAATAGCAACTACATACAGTTATGTGTAGTAAATTACAATGCTGGGAAAGGTGACTAATTATCATAGAATGACCAATTCTTGACATCAATGATTTTGTCTACAGTTTGTTTCTATACTGCTAACTGAAGTAATGAGCTATATCTCATTTTTCAGCTTTGTTACATAGTTTTCATGCTTTTTAGCTCTGCCATGCTTTCTGACTGATGAATCATTTTTGCAGCTGTTCTATAGAGTTACAGATGAAAATGCCAAAAATAGTGAGCTTTATCTCGTGGGGATGATTTGCTACGCAAGCAAACATTATTGTGCCTTTGCCTTTCATACGAAGAGTTGCAAATGGGTGCTGTTTGATGATGCTAATGTGAAAGAGGTAAGTTTAGCTGTTCTGATTGGGTGATCTTTCTACATAACTGCCTAGATGTGTTCAAAAGTAAAATGCAATACAGTGGTGCCTCGCAAGACGAAATTAATTCGTTCCGCAAGTTTTTTCTTCTTGCGAGTTTTTCGTCTTGCGATGCACGGTTTCCCATAGGAATGCATTGAAAATCAATTAATGCGTTCCTAGGGAAACCGACTTCAGACCAGGTCCGGGGACAGTCTGTCCCCCGACCTCTTCTGAAGGCTGGGGGGGGGGACAAGGGCTTTTCTTCCCACCCCCAGCATTTTAAAAAACCCCGGGACAGCGGAGGGCTTCTCCGCTGTCCGGGGCGATCTTAAAATGCTGGCGGGCGGCATTTTAAAATCGCCCCGGGACAGCGGAGGACTTCTCCGCTGTCCAGGGCGATTTAAAAGCCCCTGGGAAGGCAGGCAGGGGGGACAAAGACTTTTGCCCCCCGCCAGCCTTCAGAAGAGGTCCTGGACCTCTTCTGAAGGCTGGCGGGGGGCGAAAGTCTTTGTCCCCCCTGCCTGCCTTTAAAAGCCCTCCCGGGAGAGCGGAGAAACGCGCTGCGTTTCTCCGCTCTCCCGGGAAGGCAGGCAGGGGGGACAAAGACATTTGCCCCCCGCCCTCCTTCAGAAGAGGTCCAGGACCTCTTCTGAAGGCTGGCGGGGGCGAAAGTCTTTGCTCCCCCCCCCCCCGCCTGCCTTCAAAAGCTGTCTGGCCAAGGCTTCGCGGACCTCTCCGCAAGCAGCGGCAGCGCTGCCGCTGCTTGCGGAGAGTTGCCGGCATGCCGAAGCCTGCGCGCGCTGAGATCAGCGCGCCCAGGCTTCGCGGACCTCTCCTGCCTTCAAAAGCCGTCCGGGATAGCGGGAAGCGCTTCCCTGCTATCCCGGACTGCTTTTAAAATGCTGGCGGTGGGGAGCAAAGCCTTTCGGCCCCTGCCAGCCTTCCTGGACCTCTTCTGAAGGCCGGAGGGGGGGGGGAAGGCTTTGCTCCCCACCGCTAACATTTAAAAGAGGTCCCCAGAGATTTCCCTATGGGCTTTCGTCTTGCAAAGCAAGCCCATAGGGAAATTCGTTTTGCGAAGCGCCTCCAAAACGGAAAACCCTTTCGTCTAGCGGGTTTTCCGTCTTGTGAGGCGTTCGTCTTGCGGGGTACCACTGTACTTATATGTAGTTCTGACAAGGTGGCACTTAAATGAAAGGAAATTTGTTACTCCACTAAGTTTTCACTGTTAGAAAAGAGATCAAACAATGACATGAAAGTAGCTCTTTTCTCTTAAGAAGTCAGAATAATCTCTCTGAGAAGTTAAGTGTCAATTGAATATAGATTATATCTATTTTATCATCATTGGATTATAACTATTACTTAACTAAATTGAATTACTTATATATCTCATGAAAACATAACTTTTTAGGTTGGAACAAAATGGAAAGATGTGGTGTCCAAATGCATTCGGTGTCACTATCAGCCATTGCTGCTGTTTTATGCAAATCCAGATGGTACACCTGTATCAACAGAAGATGCACCAAGGCAGACAATACACTGGTCTCATTATAAAGCCTGTGCAGGAAATGGAGAAGAACTTGGTAATACACTTGGCTCTTTCTTCATATTATTAAAAAATAATTTACTAAGTGCTTAACTGTGTACACAGTCTACATATACATGATCTATTGGTGTGTCCTGAGTTAGTAGCTGGAAAGAAGGAAGCAGCCAGTCCTCTACTCTAGCCTTGGGTAGAATGAACTAGCCATTGTATATGCTGAGTTTCCCATTCCTCACGATCTACGTTTAATGTCAGTTGCTGTGCAGTGAAACTGACTACTTGATGGTTCTCATGATACAATCTCAGAGTGGGAAACATCATGGAAATTAGTATCCCTGTGGTGAAAGTAGTTAGATAAGTTCTTAATGTGTCAGGGAAGCTGGGGGCAGTGGGTGTGGGGGCAGTGGGAGATTGAAGGGTCTGGGTACTATTAATGTTTCAGCTGAGGCAATATAATGGACCCACCTCTCATATTAAGGAGGAATGGGCTTAGAACAGTTGCAGTGTTTCTGTTGGAGCAAGGTAGCATAGGAAGGAGGCCCTTTGGAAATATAGTTTGAATATTAGGTGTTTTAGTTTTTCAATGTGGGGAGTTCAATTAGTATTGTAGGGTTTTTTGGTTTTCTGCATTCAACATCTAGCTATAGAACTGTTTGAATGTTATCACATTTACGCTGGCATTTTTTTCCACTGTACTACATGGACTTCAAACAAGTCTGGTAAGAAAAGTAAGGGCTTAACTACCAGTGACATTAATGACATATTTCTACAATCTGCCATTTAATCTGACTGCTTTTCATTTGAAGAGAAAGCAGGTGCATGGTGTGATCCAGAATATACCTCCAAATCAGACCAGGGAACCATGCTGCCTGAGGGGTGGGCGTTGTTGAAAATTGTTCCCTCATGGGAACAATTTCTGACTGAAAGTGTTGCTTACCGTAAACAGCATTGTCAGGAGCAAATAGCATCAGGTAGAAGGTGATTTTCAGCAGAAAACCTGTGTGGTACTCCAGTGAGAAAAGGCAGTCAGGTTTACGTATGGTCACTTAAACGCATGCTTGATGACACATACAGAGCTTAGGCCTTAATTCTAGTGCTAGAGATGATTGTGGGGTTTTTTTAGCCTCAAATATATTAACATTGTTTAACATTCCTTTCCCTAGGATTTGAAAAGTCTACTTTTTCTAAGTCAGATCGTCCGAAAGAGAATGGGTTTGGAGAATCAGTTACTCAGAAGAGCACTAAAAAATATCAGCCAGATGACTCAAATTTTAGTCGAAACCATGTTCAGTCTGGTGGTGTCAGAGGATCAGGTATATATCTTAAACATTAAAGGTAAAGGTACCCCTGCCCATACGGGCCAGTCTTGCCAGACTCTAGGGTTGTGCGCTCATCTCACTCTATAGGCCGGGAGCCAGCGCTATCCGCAGACACTTCCGGGTCACGTGGCCAGCATGACAAGCTGCATCTGGCGAGCCAGCGCAGCACACGGAACGCCGTTTACCTTCCCGCTGGTAAGCGGTCCCTATTTATCTACTTGCACCCGGAGGTGCTTTCGAACTGCTAGGTTGGCAGGCGCTGGGACCGAATGACGGGAGCGCACCCCACCGCGGGGATTCGACCCGCTGGCCATGCGATCGGCAAGTCCTAGGCGCTGAGGTTTTACCCACAGCGCCACCCACGTCCCGATATCTTAAACATTATAGTAATGTTAACTTACAGTGCTTATTATGCACTGGTATTGTTGAATTGAATGTGTAATAGTTTTAGTGGGTAACACATTTGAACTGAACAGTAGTGTAACATTACATTGTTTAAGATATATCATTTTGGCTGTTTTGAAAGTTCTGACCATTAGGGCCTCCCCATAGAATGTTTTGGCTTACATATATGCAGCGTCTACAGCTATTTATACTTCTAGTGCTTGTCTGGTCTGCTGGTAGCATGCTGAAATCTTCCATATTGGTCTGGTGGCTCCAAGATAGATGGTTTTCTCTCATGGCAGGGGGTGAACTATTTGGCTTTTTGGTTGTTTTTTATGACTGTGAACCTTTAATGCATATTCTTATCTATTTTTTCAGCTAAATTAGGGCATAATGAACATAGGGAAAAGGCAAAGGATCTTTCCAGAGAGTGCGCTCAGAAGGTAGCCGAGATGAAAAGCTTCTCATCCTCCCTACGAAAAGACACTGAGAGAGGATCAAAGAGAGAATCTGGAAAACAGAGAGGTAATAGAACCTACTTCGAGGAGAGCACTTCCAATGACTAACTTTCACCTACTATGATTAAAGAATCCCCTGTCTTAAAAGTGCTATTTATTGTTTGCTCTGAAATTTGATTGTATTGACAAGAATAATAAATTGCCCTTAAAGCTTAAAAGAGGTTGCTTTAATATGATAGAATATTTAAAATGTGATGTTGTGGTGTTTCCCCCCATAGATCTATCTGGAGAGGTCCGCACCAATTTTAAGCCAGGATCGCCACCTTCTGGGAATGGATTTAAGCAGCATTCTAATGAACGTGTGTATGGCAGTCAGGGAAAAGGACCTTACAGACATGAAAAAGTACATAACCAAATCAGACCCACTGCACAAGTATTGGGCTCAAACAAAACAGATGGCTTTTCTGATGGAGAGAAGATGAGTCGTGTAAAGACTGACAGCACCACTGGTTATGATACAGACAGTAGCCAAGACTCCAAAGACAAGGGAAGCATCAGTAGCAGCAAAAGTCGAAGCAGAGGTTGGAAGCCAATGCGAGAGACACTGAATGTTGATAGCATTTTCAGTGAATCTGAGAAAAAAGAACACAGTTCAAAGCCCAAATTAAATGCAAGCAATAAACCTAAACATGAAAAGGAGCAGAGTTCAAACAACTGGCCAAAAGAAACTCGAAGTCAAAAAGGTTTGATGACTATCTATGAAGATGAAGCAAAACAGAAAGGGAGCCGGAGTTCATTGGATTCAGAAGGGAAAGGAAATGCAGAAAAAAGTGTAGGATTTACAGAGAGGAAAACTCATACTGATAGTTGGCAGATACAAAGGACTGAATCTGGTTATGAAAGCAGTGATCATATAAGCAATGCATCTGCTAATCTGGATTCACCTGTCATTGAAGGAACCAGCCCAGTAGATACTACCACAGTTAAGGAATCTGTTTCCTGCAGGTAATAAACATGAAAGTTGTCTTGTGAAAGTATGTGTAATTAGGAGTGTGGATCCAATTTGGATGAAGCCTGAATCCATAACCAAAGCAGACTGCTTTGGAGTGATTTGGACATTGTCTGAGACAAAACAGAGATTCTCTGAAGCAACTCAAAGCTTTGGACTGCTACTCAAACCTTGGGTCTGCCTTGGAGATTTGAAGGATGGAAAGGGAATTGAATGTTTGAGTACAGTTTCATTAAGCTGCTACTCAGCACAGATATTGTTATCTACATTTGTGAGAATGAGAACTCATCTGTCCTTACTGCATTGTATTTGTAGTAATTCATATTTGACATTGATTGAGCTACTTGTGCTGGCAAATGTTTGAAAGATGCACAAGCAAAAATAGGTTTATTTTTCCATTAAAGCTGAGGCAGAATATGGCAGAAGGGTATGCATGCAGAATAAGAAGTCTGTGACCTTGTAAACTTCTCTCCTTGCCTTTTCCAATATAACTTCTGCTTGGTCAGGCACATTATAATGGTGCTTCTGCATTGGCTGTTCGTATGCTGTTGAAAGGTGGACAAATTGTGTGACAAAATATAATCTCTTGCAAGATTGGAGGGTGGGAGAGAGGGAGAAATTTGGATTAAAATATATTTCCAAATAAGTTGTCTTGTACAGTGGAGTTCCATTTTGAATTTTCAACTTCTGATGTTGTAAATATCAGTAAATATTTCTGTGAGATATTGTTTGGTACTTTAGGTTTAGTGAAATCTTGCCAGAATCTGAATCTTACGGTTTTTACTTAATCTTTTTTCACAGTGACCAGTTAATCAGATATTCGGGGTGTATCTTGCAGTCTACCTCCCAGCAGAACAAAAACTCTTCAGATGGTAAGAACTCAGTTGTTCTCAGTTTAAGTGTATTCAACTCTTAAAGGTTTCTATGTTTATAAAACAAATGTATCTAACACTAAAAAATTAAGTTTCTATCTCATCACATTGCGCTTTGTTGCTCCCTAATTTGTTATATCCCTGTCCACCTTAGTCATTTGTATTCTGAACTGTTTTCTGAAAAGAGAGCTCGCTACTTTGATGGAGAGGCAGCTTATTTGACCCAGTCCAAGAAAGCTTTAAAAGTGTTCCTGATATATAACAATTCTCCAAATAAGTTCTATAATTACAAAAGTCAGAATTCCTTCTATTACTGTTAAACTATTTGTGCTTCATTGATAATGGTGAAACCTCTGCTATGCAAGCCTAACATCTGCCATATTTAGTTTGACTAGAACCTAGAGCCAAAATTCCTACCGGACTGTCTCTGGTTTTAACCATGCATGGATCTTCATGTCAGCAGAAGAGAAAAATAACACATCTATTTTTAAATTAGCTGGAATTCTGAAGGCACAGGCCTCTGGGTGTCAGTGAGCAGCTTTGATTGAACACTTGCCATAGTGATATTATATAGGAGTCCTCTCTTGTAAGCATTTGCTGCCATCTTACGTACAGTACATGCAACTGCATGGTAACAAAGAGCAATCTAGTAAAGTAACTCTGAAACCTCAAAAGATTTTTTATGGACAACTTAACCATTTATGTTTGTAGCTAATTTGTCAGTAGTACATTATTGGAAGCTTAAATATATTCACATGGAAATCTATGCAGAAAATGTTTTCAAAACATTATGCTTCAGGATGACTTAATTGTATTTGGGACCTTAATAATTTGTTCAGGTGTATCTATCGTTGGTACCAGTACAGCATTATGCTTGACTGACAAAAAAAATAAATGGTAACATGCCTCTTTCTGATAACTTACTTGTGAATACATCAAATCTTAAAATAAGGTTGTCAGTATGGCTTCTATATTCTATTGATAAGTTTTATATCTTGTAAATTCCTAAGTGCATTGCAGATTTATTTATAAAAGTATTTGTATCCCACACCTTCAAACCAAACCTTGTCCTGAGGGTAGCTAATGCTCAAAATAAAAACAACGGTTAAAAAGCAGAAAAAAGCAAATGATCAGCAAGAAAATTATGTACTTCTATAAAACATATTCAAATCATGTTGTCTTGGCGTGCTGCCTGAAAGTATACAGTGCACCAATATCCAAGGGCAGATGTCCAGTTACAGATGATAGAATTTTTATGCATTGATGTCAACTGCAAGCTCCTGCTTTAATATCTCCAGCTGAAATATTAGACTGCCGTCCTTTTCAGGCATTACGGGAGAAGGGTGGCATTAAGGTATTACATTTGGCTGATTCTCCTTGTACTTAAAAAGAATCCTAGGCATGCCTCATGCTTTATTTACGTTTACCATGGGATTTCAAGAGTGGGATTTTTTTATTTTAGAAAGCAAATGTTAAGTTCACAAGATTTTTTCTCGTTACTGGTATTGCTGATATTTCCTGTGCATATTAAAAAAAAAAAACCATCATAATGTGCTTAAGGTAAACAACAACACTGTTTTGCAGCCTTGAAGAAAGACCAGGTTAATACTCATATGAACTATAGATCTCATAACCTACCTTCAACATCTCATCTGCATATGCAAAGGTAACCTTTAACTATGCAATTATGTAGTCTAAAGCAGCTATTGTAGAAAAAACAAGTTCATTATTTTGTAAAAAATGTTTTAAATTTTCATTTATAACTTTCATATTTTTAAAAGAATTTTTGCTGATATCCAAGATCCTCATTTCTACAAATTGGCAGTGTTCTCATGTAACACCAAATCATAAAATGTGCTTTGGTAAGTCATACTGTGCACGAGCTACATGCTTGTATACACAGTCTAAGCACTCTGACTTCACTTCACCCCTCACTATCACTATGTCAGCCTAAACCATGGCTTGTTGACCTTGCAGTCATGGTTTGTTAAGGCAAAACAAACCACAGTCCGGGATTTGGACATCCCACTAACCTAGTTGTCATGGTTTGTTTACCCACACATCTGAAAGGAGGTGAAGTGGGAGTACTTGGACTGTGTACACAGGATGGCTTAGCACTGTGGTGCCAACACAGCCATTGTATAACAGCTACTGGGTTTTCAGGTTTGTTAGTTATTTTGGCCAGTTGTTGAAGGCTTAGAATAATCCCTGAACATTGCCTTGAAATTACATTTTTGAGATTTCAGAGCATAAAGAACAATGCAAGATTGTTTTAAGGGGCCCTGTCGCTCCTTCAGATGTCATGACCAAAAGTCAGAGATGATAATAGTTCCAGTCCAACAACAACTGGAATACCCATCCCTGTTTGAAAATCTTAAAGACAATCTTGCACCATTGTTCTTTCGTAAATGTGTAAGTTAAATTAGTGTAAGGGGTACTATGTGGAACTGCCTTTAAGATCTCTCTCCTTTTCTTATGCCAATCTACTAATATGCCATGATAATTAGTTTAAGCTTTGCTCTGTGTGCCTGCTATAAGATGTAGTAGGTGGCAACCCAGATAAAGCTTTGTGATTCCCAGGGTTTGGAACTGCCTTCCTGAGAAATTGCATGTGGCATCCTTTCTTTGTGATGCCAGGTAAAATCAGTATTGTTCTGATGAGCATTTGAAGAAGGTGTTTTGTTAATCCTTTTTATTTCTGTGTTTTAACTTGAATTATGTTATCTTCATGTGCTACCTGTAGCTGTTAACTGGTGTTGGTCACTTCAGATGCATAGAAAACAGTGCAATAAAAATAGTTTACTTTTTTCCCCGATATCCTGAAAAACAACTGGATGTTGAATTATTTGAAAATTAGCAAAATGTCTGTGGTCATGATGTGGTGGTGTGAAGACCATATAATGCAAAATACTGTGCTCTCCACAGCTTCCCTGTTGGGGAGGATCAGGCCAATCACCATCAGTAGTGTAGGGCAAGATTTTCCCTTTCTCTACAGTATTCTCCTGAGATGTAGTGTGTTGTGACAATTTTTCATATGTTTGATAAGAAAGAAGGCTGAATTGGGATAGGGTTTCTTAAATACACACTCTGCCCTAATGACTCAGCCATGAATAATCAACCATACTGATAACTATATAGTCCTGCCTCTTAATCAGCAGTCCATTCTGAATGCTGGGTAGTGTTGAAACTGGCTTAGCCTAACCTTCAAAATATGCAGCTCAACCAGAATAATTGAAATAACATGAAACTTCTTTTGTTGACTTCAACTACAATTGGGTTGCAGTTTTAAGTGTTCAGTGGTTTTCATTCTTTAATGCTTTGTTTTCTAGGACTGACATACCTGATGGCAATAAGAAGCTTTTTCCTTCGTTAACACTACAGACCGCTTTAAAAGACCACTCTGAGAGAGAAATGAAGAACAATGCACTTAGTGAGCAAAGCTCTGCACAGTGGCCCACTGAAGAGATACTTGATGAAACAAACATAGCAGTACACAGTGCTGATAATTCAGCTTCTTACAATGGCGAGAACTTAACCATGTCTGAAAAGGTTCAGAACAGTGAGTCTTTCTCTTCCCATTTGCAGTTGCCTCATACAAGGACAGTTAGACCTAGGCCAGCGCTTGCATTTTTCTTACAACAGAATATATCCAAACCTTCCTATACTGAATCTGCGGCACCTGCTGAACGTAAACTTCATTTGTATAGTAGTAGGACTGATGATGACACACAAGAAGCGATTTACCAAAATCTTCCTCCTCCTTTACCACCAAAGAAATATGCTCTCACTGGTTTGCATGGATTAGAATATGACTCTGCTGTGGACTTAAAACCAACAGAAGTACCGGGCACAAATCCTTCCAGTGTTGAAAGGCATGTTCCAAGAGTAACTTCAAAGACTGCACCTGAAGCAAGTCCATTTACACATGAAGAAAGACTTAACTCATTTCACGGAAATGAGTCTTCCAAGATGAATTTTCCATCAAGTTTATCAGTAAACGATCTGCAGGCTGTATCCAATAATCCTATACATAAGGGAGCTTGCCTCACAGGACAAGGTGCTAGCTCCCTGGATGCAAATGCCAATGATATTGTATCTCTTACTACTTACTTTTCAGTTGACAACTGTATGACTGATACATACAGGATGAAATACCACCAGAGACCCAAGCTGTATTTTGCAGACACTGGCGTGTTAAACAAAGAGACACCTTTGCCACCAAGTGGAATACAGATGAACACTTCATACCACAGTAATTCCGAATCAAATTATCCAACAACTGATCAGAGACATAAACCCAGCATTGGAAATATATATTGCAATAGGTAGAATATGCAACCATTGAGCATAAATGCTTGGCGCCCCAACATGTTGCAATGTTTAGGTTTCTGTACCTCACTTATACTTCATTTAGAAGTTACAGCTATTGAATGATGGTTTTGCACATGCATGCGTGTTTAAGAGAGATACAAAGACTTTTGGACCTGTTACTTTTGTGCTTTAACAAGATTTGCACTCATTATAGGCTAATGCAGAATTATTCAGCCAGCATTGTTACACTTTTAAAATTAGAATCTACAAGAAATGCCCTTTAAACTGGCATTCATTTGATAAATAGGAATAGTTTGCTTTTTTCAACTAATGAATGCTGCACCTTTTTAATATGACTTGGACTAACTAGTAGAAATCATTATGAAATACCTCCTTCGGGTTCCGATCTCACAAGTGTTTAATATTAGTTACTCATCTCTATTTCAGGGCACTTTCTTTATATTACATAATGTAAATCATGCATCTTTTAATCACCAACCACCATTTTATCAGTCATAGAAAGATAGGATGCTGCCTTATACCAAGTCAGATCATTGGTCCATCTAGCTCAGTAGTGTCTGCACTGACTGTCAGGGGCTCACCATGGCTTTAGGCAGGAATTTCTCCCAGCCCTACCTGGGGATTGAACCTGGGACCTTTTGCATGCAAAGCATGTACTCTATCACTGAGCCAAGGCCCTTTTCCAGGCAGGAAATGCTTATGCATAATTGTTCAAGATCTCTAATGTAGAATAGCCTTTCATGGTTTTGGAATGGTGGGTTGTGGGTAGGGAAGGCCATCCCATGACGGTTACTGTTCTGGCTTAATGAATTATGGTTACAGTGTTGTATTATTTATTTGGTGTTCATACTTACAAACTTCGCCAAAGGATACATGCAGTAACAAGTACAGTCTCCTAGGGGTTTGTGTCACTTTGGGTTTCAATTGGAATATTTTGCTCCCTGGCTATGTAAAGTTTTCACAGTAAGGAATGATTTGTGTGTTTGTATGGGAAGTTTCTTTTCCCATGGAGGCACTTTCAGACCAGCTCATGTTAAAACTGAAGTGATAGACCTTTGGGAACTGTACTACCTCAATATGGCATATTGATTCTGTACTACTGATGGAAGAAGAAGTGTGCAGGGAGAGCGTACCACCCCCAGCAGCACGATCCCGGTGTGGTGCCATTGTGGCTGCCCCCCCCCACCCGTGCTGGGCACCACACCCCTACGGGTGGCACACCCCGCCCCTGCCTGTTTTCCGCCCCCCGGTGCCGGAGCATGAAGCTCCGCCACTGGTCTGTCCTTAGTGTACATAAACCAAGGGAATTTCATTAGTTCAGGGGTAGCCAATGTATGGGTTGCATGCTGCATCTGACCTTTTCCCCCAGCCTACATACCTTTGTGCTATCAATATTTAGCTACCTGCCTGTAGATTGATCATTTCCAGGATAAGAACCTTTGCACGCCATATGTGGCACCTTGTCTATAGGTGGTTATCAGTGTAAGGAGGTGAGCTTTTCTTTGGAGACAAACCCTTGTTAAGGAGTTCTGAGCAAACAGAGAATAAGTATTTTTGAAGATGCTTTATAAAGTACTGGCCCGACCTAAGAATCTTACCTGGAACCCCTTGCAAGATTGTGAAAAGTGCATTTAATGGGAGTGTTGTCTTGACTTTCCCTTTATATTCAGGTACTGTTAACTAAAAAGTTACAGTAGTTCTAATACTACTGTCGCCTTGCCACATTGGTAAGATGTTTTTTTGCTGTTGTAGGTTTTTCTTGCTGTTGTAGGCTCACTTTAAAACTATTTTAGTTTAGACTGCAATCTTATAAATGCTGGAGGATATCCTGATATCAGAACTATGCACAGAATGGTACATATAATCTGAAAAATTGTGCAGAAAGTATGTTGAGTTCCTCGAGTCAATTATTTCTGTTGCCCTGGATATCTTGTAACAAAGTCAGTCCATCAGATGTTTAGTATTTGAAATGATGCCTTAATAAGTGACTTTGAGTTTATTTTAATATATAAAATAGTAGCTAGAATTTCAAATAGCAATAGCTGGTGTTCCACACAGCCTACTTTAAATATTGCAAATTCTGCATAGCAGTTGGATGTACTAGGGGTTGGTTGGGACTGTCTTTGTGCTGCAGGAAAGATTTTCATATCATGAATTGTATAAATATATTTTTATATTGAAACTTGCTCTGGAAAACATTATTTATATATCTCTGCATGTATGGAAAATACTGTTTGGCTTTCCAAACATTTTATTTAAAACTACAAGCAGGGGCACAAAACAAAATATTCCTCAGGAGCTATCATGGAATCAGTCAGATCTTTGAAGAGGGGAAATGTTATGGCAAAAGACTGTGGGTTGCATCCTGCAAAGTGATCCTGTTTGTGAAAGGACTTCCACTTGTATTATGGAGCTTCCCCTCCCTCTCTCAGCTGCCCCCTAAATATGTTCTGGGGGTTCCTCAACTGTCTCAAGATGCTTAAGCATAAGTCCTTGCATGGACAGGACAACTTTACTGGATAAAACCCTTTAATTCACTTTTTGTAAGTGTTTTGAATAAATAAGGCCTTCAAGATGATTGATGGGAGAGAAAATGTAAATGCCTTTTAGCTTTAATCGTAGTGATAGTTAATATATTTTTCAAACACTCCATAATGCTTGCACTGTACTTGGATTAAATCCAGAATATGTTTGTGCTTTTAACCAAATTGTGACAATCATAGCATAGCTGCCCAATACTTTGGGTCTATTCAAGACATTGCTTTGTTTGAGGACTTGCATGCTTCATCATTGTTGGCATAAAGTAATGTCTGCATTGTGAAATTTCACATTTATTTGAATCTGGGATCTTCAGTCATGCCTAGTGTAGATTTGGAGGCCATGCAATGTCTGAACAGACCTCTTATGTTTACGGTAAGTGTCTTAACCATAAACATAACCTAAGATTTGTTGCTTACCAGTATGTATGCACCAGACCAAATATCCTTCAGCAGTTGCTCCACATCTTCTTGCCTCCTTTGCTGCTTCTATCAGTAGTGCTGCTGCAAGCTTGTACATATAACACACACTTACAACACTTAGAACTGCAAGTGAAACCAAACATTTTCCCTTCATTTAGGACAGAAGGAATTTCATCTAAAAGCAGTTGTGTAAAGTTCCTGTTTCTAATACAGTACTTGAGGGTTTTTAAAATAAGTAAATAAACTTTTCTCTCTCATTCCTTATACACAAATAACATGTGATGTTGTTGTAAAGCCTTCATGGGCAGAAGTGGCATTGTGACAAGTACTGGAATCTTAAGTGTACAGTTGAAAGCTCTTACTGAAATGTGTTTGAATTTGCAGTATTTATGTAAAGACTAACAAATGTGAATGACCTACTGTAAGAGCGTTACTACATTTTAAAAATGTGCATAGCAAAGTGTCACTTTACAAACGAGAAATGTTAATTTGTAGATTTGTTTCTAATGTGCTTGTGGGCACAGTCAACAAATGTATTCTGTTTGTAAGAAAGTTGAGTAGCGTCATACTTTCTGAAGTGTACATGTCCTTTAAAGAAACTTAGATGTTTCTTCGTTTTCAATCTTTGTAGACAAACTTTTGTACAGATCTGTGGCTACCAGATAATGCTTCTGTCATAACAGATGGTCAATTTTAACTGACCGTGCACTCTTAGTAGATGAATATTTGCTAGCAAATGTGCATACATTGATTTTTGACTTCTCCAGGGTGCCTATTTTTATAATTGTTCCCTTCAGATTATAGATTTGTATGACTTTTGTAATGTTAAATGCATTTAACATGTCTTGTAAAAATATTTTCATTGTCTAGAAAATTTTAATCCAAAATTGCATTTTTCTGCCCATTCAACTGTCAGATAAAAATGGAGTTACCCTACAGAGTGTTTATCTACTTCACTTGTATGTGTGTTTGTTCCTAGCGAGGTTTGTGTTTTACTGTTGATAAATGTTATTTTCAAGAAAAGGGATATAATGTTGCTTACCACTGAAAGACTTCTCACACTGGGATTGTTAACCTTTGTGTCAAATGAGCAAGCTAGCTGGTAGAAAATCTGTTTTCGTGACTTCCTTCTGCTCTATTGCATTTTTCATTGCATCTAAGAATTAACCTTGCAGGGTTTTGTGAGACTTGTGTTCCTGTTAACAGGTGGCTAACCTGTGGCCCTCCAGCTGCTGCTGGGAATTGGGAATTTAACAAAATCTGGAAGGGTGCAGCTGCCTGTGCTGTACGAAGGCTGAAATGAAATGAATTCCTTGATGTGAAACATAGCGTATTTTTTGCACCATAACACTCACTTTTTTCCTCCTAGAAAGTAAGGGGAAATGTCTGTGCGTGTTATGGAGGGAATGCCTACGGGTGGCATGCCTACGGATTTTCCTCCTCTAAAAACTACATGCGTGTTATAGAGCGAAAAATACGGTATTTGACACGGGTCAAGTTCAGGATTAAGTCCAAACTCATTTATTGTGGTCTCCTCTTTGTTAAGACTGCAGCTCTGTACACACTTAAGTGGAACAAGAGCTGTGGGGCTATAACCAGACTAGCATAAAAGTGATTGACCTTTTAAATACCAATTTTCTTATGTGCTCTAGTTTCAGATTTTCAATACATACAGTCGTACCTTGGTTTTGGAATAGCTTAGTTCCCAAACGTTTTGGCTCCCGAACACTGCAAACTTGGAAGTGACTGTTCTGGTTTGTGAACTATTTTTGGAAGCCAAACGGACTTTCAGAATGGATTTGACTGTATAAGTATATACTGTAACTACCATGCACAGTGATACTGGGGCCCACATTGGTGGCAGCAATGTTAGTTCATACCCTGTTCATATTGTATGGCAAGGGAGACACACCTTCATTCCCTGCCCACCCCTCCATTTTTGAATGGTTTTTTCCTTCTCAACCACTCCTTTCATAGCATAGAATCATAGAATCTTAGGAGTTGGGAGGGGACCCAAGGGTCATCTAGTCCAAACCCCACCCCCCCGTAATGCAGGAATCTCAGCTAATGTATCCATGACAGATGGCCATCCAACCTCTGTTTTAAAACCTCTAATGAAGCAGAGTCCACCACCACCACCTCTTGTGGGAGTCTGTTCCACTGCTCTTACTGTCAAAGTTTTTCTGAATGTTCAGCCGGAATCTCGTTTCTTGTGACTTGAAGCCATTGGTTCGAGACCTACCCTCCAGAGCAGGAGAAAACAAGATTGCTCCCTCTTCCATGTGACAGCTCTTAGGCAACGCTGAGAACGAAGTGTTTTTAAAGAGAAACTGCCCAGTGTGTGATAAGAGGCTAGGAAGGCACTGTGCTTACCTTCAGGCATGCACATGTTCTGTACTGAAACTCTGAACCCACACAGGCCAGTCACTGCAAAGGACAAACACAGCTGTCCTATCTAATTCAGTTTGGCTGTTAGAATTGGCCATAATGCCCAATAAAAGGGATATCCGCTTACCCTTAACCATCTGCAGAACAGACTTTTAAACTCTTCTGCACATCAACAGTTATATCTGCCTTCCAATCTATTCCAAATTACTCTTTAAAGTGTGAATGCATAGATAAAAGGAACCATTTTAATATAGTGGAAAACCTTTAAGTGCATCAACAGCAGCGTAACATTTGTCATAAGGCACAACTTCCATCCATTTCAGGTTGAAAAGTAGAAGGTCAAACCACACGTCTGGCAGGCTCAACAAAGAGTGCTAACAGTTCAAATGCAGTTGTCGCAGGCATCGCTTCTCGAGAGAACAGTCTGTAACAGTTTCCCAAACGTGTCTTTGTTCCGAACAGACATGCTGCTGGAGGAATGGCAACAATAGCTTTTCTACCATGGAATCAGGTTGTCCTGCTGGATGAAGAAAACTGAAGTTAGGACATAGTATGTCAGTGTGCCCGCTACAAACTGAGTATGTAAGCAGACCCAATGGACCAGACCAAAGACCTAAGCAGGCCAGAACCCTGTTTCCCACTGTAGCTAAGCAGATGCCTCTGCGAAGCCTGCCAGCAGGACATAAAAGGTTTTTAATCACACAAAAAACACCCACACCCACCACAGGTTGCAGTCCATGTAGCACTAAGGTGAAAGTTCAACCAGCATAAAGATTTTCTCACCATGCACACCCCTTAAATCGGTTCTTAGGTTTCTGGAAGTTATGGAAGTCGAAGGGACTTCCGAAACAGATTCCGTTCGACTTCCAAGGTACAACTGTATTGTTTTCCATCCATAACCATCAAGACTGAATTAGTGTTAGAAACTCGGGTATACAGTGCTACCTCGGGTTACATACGTTTCAGGTTACAGACTCCGCTAACCCAGAAATAGTACCTCGGGTTAAGAACTTTGCTTCAGGATGAGAACAGAAATCGTGCTCCGGCGGCGCGGCAGCAGAGGGAGGCTCCATTAGCTAAAGTGGTACTTCAGGTTAAGAACAGTTTCAGGTTAAGTACAGACCTCCAGAACAAATTAAGTACTTAACCTAAGGTACCACTGTATAAGCTAATGCCAAACAGCTCCTTAAACCTAGTTTATGGTCTGCACAATGGGGTGTTTAGGTGGCATTTCCACCCCCTGAAAATTCTTATTATTCATTTCATTTCTATACCACTTTAGATTTTAAAGAACAAATCCCAATGCAACACATTAAAACATCAAATAAAAAATGCAGAAGAAAGCAAAATGAAGCTTCAAGGAAAATACTTCAGATCCTTCTCTAAGTGACATTCTGCTTTCCCCATATTCATTTACCTAATAAATAGGGGTCCAACAGCTGAAGTACTGTAGGAATCTGTTGTGATATAGTGGTTAGAGTGTCGGTCTAGGACCTGGCAATTCAAAGTTCAAATCAAAGCTCAGTCATGAAGCTCACTGGGCGACCTTGAGCCAGTCACAGCATCTTAACCCAGGCATGGCGAAACTTGGCCCTTCAGCTGTTTTGGGACTACAACTCCCATCATCCCTAACAGGACCAGTGGTCAGGGATGATGGGAGTTGTAGTCCCCAAACAGCTGGAAGGCCAAGTTTCGCCATGCCTGCCTTAACCATACCTCACAGGTCGCTGTAGGGATTAAAGGGGGGGGGTGAACCATGTACTCATTGGAGAACAAGGTGTGATATACAGGCAATAAATGAGCTGCTCTGTTTATTTATTGCCTATAAATTTATAAATTTATTGCCTATAAATGAGCTGCTTTGTTTATCTGCTTAAGAAAGGTACAGGAGCCAGCTAGATAGAGATGTCAGTTGCCAACTTGGCATCCAGAGATTTCCATGTGGGCACAATTGGATCTGTGCTAATCACATAATGTGACTGGTGCCTGTGGGGTTTCTTAACACTGCTGTGAACGTGCACAAATGGGAACAAGCAGATTTTTCAAGCCCAGGTTTGGCAATTGTTGTTTAATCGTGTCCGACTCTTCGTGACCCCATGGACCAGAGCACGCCAGGCACTCCTGTTAATTAATGTGCTAATTACCAAACTCCTGTTTGGTAATTAGCACATTAATAAACTGCTGAAGTTAGTTTTGGCAAGGTGGCAGTTGATACAATTTTGCTGCACGTGTTTTGACTACCTCTGTGTTCTCAAAACCACAGGTGACATATTAAAAAACAACAACTTCAAGACATTGTAAGAGTTCTGTTGTATGCCGTTTCTCCAGATCCTGAAAACATTACATGAAATTCTGGGCAAGCCTGTACATTTGCCACAATCAGCAAAATCACTTACCAAGTCGGCTCTATTGCATTGTCAGTATGCCATTATTACATTTATTGCAAAAGCTCCAGATCCAATCTAATCTCAGCATCAGCAAAATGTTTGACTGCGGTACTTAATAGAACACATATGTGAAACTCCTCCAACCATAGTAATGTCTCTCTAAATGGCCGTGCGTGCTTTCAGCCTATTCTTACACCTTTGGCATCCACTGATGGACACCACAGCAGCATCAATTATAGGACGATACTAATGTGATGCTGGACAAAGTTGAGTATCACCTCCCACCTTGATGTTGAGCCCAGTCCAACTGACAGCATGCCAGACAACCATGTCCAACCGATGCAATAGAAACAATATTTGGCCTCTGCATATGTATTGCAACAACCAAGCTGTCCTTGAGGAAGATAATAACTAGGTTTTACGAACAGTTAAAATGTTTGAGAAAACTTTGCACTTCAACTTTTATGTTTTTTGGATTTGTCGATGCAGGCATGATAGCAACACACTGGAATAATAAAAAGTACCCACTTTGGATTTGAGTTATCTTTCTTTCTTTCCCCCTCTTCACTTTTATTTCACATCAAAAATGTTGCATTTGCCAAGCTGCTTTCTCACATTGTGAGAATGTTTGAGTAGTACACACTTTGGACTTTCTTTCTTTTTTCTTTTTACACAACTGTAAAAAAACGGGGGGGGGGGAGAGTTCGGTGGTAAAGGACATGCTCTACTTGAAGAAGGTTCCAGCTTCAATCCTTGGTATCGCCAGATAAGACTGGAAAAAGACTCTTGCATAAAACCCTGGAGAGTTGCTTGCTGTCACCTAGTTAGATAGACAAGTGAGCTGCCTTATAATTGGAATTTCCACTCGGCCAAGCTGATAAAGCCTCATTTTCCTCTGGCCGAGCCTTCAGAATCGCCTCCGACGAATAATTAACGACCCGAGCCTTAGATGAGGCCTCAGGCACATTCCATTAAGCAGAGTTTCCAGCAGCATGCGAAAGTGATGAGATTTATGGCTACATTGCAAAGAGTTGTATTTCTAAGCTACGCAGACAGAAAAGACATCTTCTCTCCATGAAAGCAGAGAGCAACTGAACAAAGGAAACAGGAAACCACTAAGGTCACATCCCGTCTCCTCTCCTGTGAGACTTCCAATAGTATGGAATCCCAGGAATGTAAACAGAGTCCTGTGACTCCACGCAACTGCTCAGTGGCAAAACAGAAACTAACAGGGAGTTCAGTGGTAAAGGACATGCTCTACTTGAAGAAGGTTCTAGGTTCAATCCTTGGTATCTCCAGAAAGGGCTGGAAAAAGTCTCCTGCATAAAACCCTGGGGAGTTGCTTGCTGTCACATAGTTAGATAGACGAGTGGGCTGCCTTAGAATAGTGAAAGTTATTCATTACCAACAACCATCATCTGCTATGTATTTTGGGAAACGATTTGTTTTCTATGGGTTTGGCTGCCTCTTGAGGTATTGTCCCTAAGGCTGGCATGAGAGCCACCCAAATGGGGGAGGGGGCCCTCACAAACGTCTGGATGCCAGGTTCCATTTTGAGTCAAGGAGGCTGACCAAAATGTGACTTCAGCATTATTTCACCTGATCTTCAGCAGGACGGAGCAAAATTCACAAATGACACTATCCATTTAAAAATCTCAATATTTTCTGGATTCTGAAAATTCCTGGGCACTTCCCACTAGTGGTTAATAACTTTCCTATATTCATAAAATTTTGGTGAATAACACGTAGAAGACAGATGACACCTCTATGAACACTTCTATTTTAAAGCAAAATCTAAAGGGTAAAACTTTTCCCACATCTTTTCAATGATGCTCCCAAAAATTTTTAAGCAAAATATAATGGATCTTATCCAGTCATTTTGAATTCTCTTGAGCTGTAATTGGCCAAAATGTGTGAATCTTATGGTCCTAACCAGCATTTTACATATTTTCAGCTCCCCCTCTCCCACTTTTTAAACCTTTTATACATACACACCAAAGGAATGGTTAAGTTGCAATTTAGGCCCCACTCTAGTTGTGAGTGTAATTTGTTTCCGACTGTTTTAATGCTTTGCTTTATATTGTTCTGGTAAAGGGCTATTAGAATAAACTAATATCTTGATTTTTTACTCTGCGTATAAAGGTGGGGTGTATGGGGTGTTCGGGGAGGGGTAGTGCTGCTGGTGGTACTCCTTCAGCGGTAGTATGTCCACCTTTGGTCCCCACACTGCACTCAGCTCTCACCTATGGAACCTAGAAGCTTTCAGTATGCAACAGTGGCCACACCTGGGGAAATGGCTTCAACTGGCTGGTTAAACTATAACAGGGGTAGGCAACCTAAGACCGGAGGGGGGGGTGGATGCTGCCCAATCGCCTTCTCAATCCGGCCCGCAGACGGTCCAGGAATAAGTGTGTTTTTACATGAGTAGAATATGTCATTTTATTTAAAATGCATCTCTGGGTTATTTGTGGGGCATAGGAATTCGTTCATTTTTTTCTTCAAAATATACTCCAGCCCACCACATGGTCTGAGGGACGGTGGACCGGCCCACGGCTGAAAAAGGTTGCTGACCCTTGAACTAGAAAGTGGTCTTGGCAGGAGCTGTAGAGGGAGGTAAGGAAGAGATGGGCTCAACTTCAAAAGAAGGAAAACCCATCCTAAACTTCTGTTGCCTTGCAGGAGATCTTGGAGAGAAGAAAAGGCTGAGGAAGTAAACCTACTCAAATCCAGAGTGGAGTCCCTTAAAGTGGTTGGATGGCGCCTTGTACGCCTCCTCCCAGCAATTACTGCAGCCAAGCTGGTGCCAAACATGTTGCTCTGCTTTCCTTTGGATCATATCAATGAGATCAATGAGTCTTGCCATCTGGGCAGCCCAGGACCTCCATACAGCCCACCTCCTAGGCTTGCACCCTGGGAAGGTCACTTTGGGGCTGCTAATGCAGAGGTTCAACTTCACCCTCTGGAGGCACACTCCATTGTCTCTGGAGACATGAGCAGAATGCAACCTGCGTCTGCGTGGGTCGCGATTCGCCGCTTCTGCGCATGACGTCAATTTGAGCGGCGAAACCCAGAAGTAACCAGTTCCGTTACTTCCGGGCTGCTGCGGGACGCAACCTGAAAACGCCCAACCTGTAGCAAATGCAACATGAGGTATGACTGTAAAAGGTAGCAGCACCGCAAAGATTTCTTATTTTCTAAGAGTCCAAATTCTTGCCTAAAGACTCTAGCAACCAAAAGAGTTTTAAAGCGATTTGATGCATGCCAATAATTCCCAACTGAAACAGGGGGTCCACCACCGGCAAGCTGCCTCTCACCCAGGTAACTCTCACAACCCTTATCACCACGGCAGGGTGGCATTTTGGAGAAGGAACTTAAAAACACGAGCTCACCCCTAATCCCCCCCCCCTTGGACATCTGTCTCCCTCTTTTGTCACAGGTAAGTATTTCCTCCTCCCAGCACCGTCTGTTCCCTGCACACCCTTGCTAGGCTAGCAGAACCCGACCAAGGAGCTTGCAGTCTCCTCCTAAGCTCCTCCTACACTGGAAAGCTTTACCTTTAAGCATCAAGCTCCCCTTCTCCTCTTTGTTTTAACCTCCAGCCTGAGGAAGAGCCCTAGAAAAAGGACCCTCGCGCCATTTGGCGTAGAAGGAAGCCTTCGACGAGGGAGGACCCGAGTTCGAATCCCCACCTCGCCCTCGGGCCAGCCTAGACTACCTCGCAGGGCTGTTGTTGAGGATACGTTGGAGGGCAGCGGGGAGGCGCAAGTCGCCTCGAGCCTCTTGGAGGAAAAGTTCTGATGCGAAATGCAGGGTTTTTGGGGAGGGTCTCCTTTTTCTTACCGTCACGGCAGCAGGTAGACGAAGACGAAGAGCGCCAGGTTGAAGGCGGCCATGAGCCACAAGTCCAGCCAGTAGGACGTCCCCGAGAGGGGCGGCCCGCGGGACGCGGCCCCTGCGGCCCCCGCCAGCCCCGGCTCCCGCTCCGCCAGGCGCCGCTCTCGCAGCTCCACTCCGTTCGCCAGCTCCATCGCCCCTGCGCCGGAAAGTGAGCAAGCCAGGCAGGGCGCGGCGGAGGGAGGACGCGGCTCGCCCACGCGGGAAGAAGGTCCGGCCGGCAAGACGACGCCCGGCGCACGTCCGCAGCCTGCGCCCGTAGAGATTCAACGGCGGAAAAGTAGAGAGAGACACGCGCGCACCCGGACAGAGACTTCCGGGGAAACACGGAAATCCGGCCCCTTGTAGCCGGGAGCCTCACCCCGCGGAAGCTTTCTATACTTTTCGCCCATAAGGTTAAAGCGGAAGCGAGCGGAGGCAGGGGCTCACCTGCAGATAGGATGTGCTTGTGAGGCGCGACTCTATTCGTTTCCTATCTCTATGTCCTCTTGCGTGCCTGCGTCATAGAGGACATAGAGATAGTCAAAGGAAGAAGAAGAGTCGGAAAATGTTATTGTCGTGTTTCAATAGACTTTTTTTTCATTCTTTCCTTCGGGGCAGAAGTGTCTAAGGGAAAGTCCAAGTACTGAATAGGTGATCTGCAACATTATTTGCTCTGCGGTTGTAAGAAATTGATACTTTAGTGTAGCTGTTGCCTTTGCTGTCCTCTTTCGGTGCCTGGTTAAAACTTTTTTTTTTTTTGCTTAGGCAAACCTATCCAGACACATAGGTGCTGATGTTTTCACCTCTTTTACTAATAATTTTTAATTATTTTAAAATCTTTTAAATTGGTAATATTAATATCACTTGTAAAACTGTTCATCAAGGGAAAGGGGTGGACAGATCAAGTAAACGGATTTAAGTGCTGGGTTGTGCCCTCATATTGTTTGCATTATGTAAATAGGGTGATCTAATTTATTTTTTTTAAAAAAGAAAACAACATTCACGTGCAATAATGAAAGACAAATGCGGCTTCCAAAAGGCAGAGTAGAAGTAATGTTTATTTCCACCAACACCATCATCATTATTTATAAAAGGTAGACAAATGGTATTGCTAAGACTGATTTATCTAAACAGACATGGGTATTATAAACATACATTAGTTGCATTTCAGTTATAGTATGTTGGCAAGCATATCCGAACTCCATTACTCTTGTGCTCGGTGGGGAAATTACAGTTGCCATAAATAAAGTACAGTTTTATTTCAGATTTCAATCCTGGGCTGTTGTTCAACCTCTCTTGAAGATTCTCTTTGCTGTAACTCCTTCATAGACATAAGTCTGAAATAGTACAAAAAAGAGAGAGAATCAGAATGTTACTTATTGGAGTGTGAAGAGGAAGAGAG